ATTTAGAAGGAATATTACTTTGACTGGTCATTTTATTTTTATTTTTTTTCCCTCCTGCCTTTAGGTTTTCTGAGGGCAAAAATCCATAAAACAAGAAATAAAATTGGTCTGGTCTTAAGTGTGGTAAACCCAACTCACTCATCAAATGTGTTTTGTGATTATTGTGATTATTGTGTAATCCTCAAATGTGCCCATACTACCCTGTATTAGTATCCCCAGGTACATATAAGCTGTGTATCTGAGTAAATTACACAAATATTTATGTGAAAACTCAATTCCTATTGAGTCTATTGCATACAAGTATGCTTGAATTCAATAAATTTGATCTTACATGTGTACACACAAAAATAGATAAAATAACAGGTGTATTGAGAGGTTCAGTTTCAACACATGAACTTGGCAACTTGCAGTCTTTCTATTCATTGGTTTGTGTTTTCTCTAGTATGGAGGAGATTGCTGTTGAATAATTAGTAGACTAATACTTAGTCCCTGAATATATATAATATCGATAGAAATACCTAAATAAGGAACCCCAGTAAGATGGGAGACACCTGAATCTGGGGAAATCTAGACTTGCTTCATTTAGGGCTTTATCATTGCAGAGGTGAGGTGAGGTGAAATTGGATTTAACGTCGTGCTTGAGAATATTTCGCTCATATGATGACGTGCATGCGTGTGTGTGTGTATGTGCGGCTGCTTGTACTAACCAAGACTTAAGCTGGTTTTATAGTGCTAGCCCACTGAGATACCATGCCGCAGTGAAGCATGAATACCCCACTCAGACACAGTATACTGACTCCGAGCCGACCAGTTCTTGTTGTACCCATTAATGCCGAGCGCCAGGCAGGGACCAACAAGTACCATATTTTAACGTCTTTTGGTATGACGCGGTCGGGGATCGAACCCGCGACCTTCCGCTCTCCGGGCGGACGCTCTAACCACTACACCAAGGAGCGGTCTGTCATTGCAGAGAGGGCTAGGTAGCAGGGAAAATAATGTTGGACTGTGAGACAGACTACATAATTAGTAATACAATCTATACCAGTGGTATAGGACAATGGGAAAGAGTTAACAGCTCTGTTGACAGATGGTATATCAGATGAAGTTAATATGCTGGATGAGTATCCTAATGAGTTATCTCCCTTTTGAGTAAAAATCTAGATATTATTTCTCATTCCAGGCAGAATTTTAAATACTATAATTGTAACAGCATCTGTTGTCTGGAATTCGTATTGTGCATTATTACAGGGAAATTGAAAAACATTCTGAGCATTGCAGAAATTGTTTAGGTGCAGGGACGTTTGAAAAGCTCATGTTAGATTGATTTTTGCATAATTCATTGCGTAAGGATTCAATCGTTACAGGTCCTGCAGTGGTGGCTCAGTGCTGTGGTTGTGGAGGGAATGTAATCTTTGTTGTCATGGAAACCAATGTTTGCAAGGTTGATCGGTAATGTTAGGGAAATGAAACAGATTGGTGACTTTCTGTACTGAAGAGTTTTCAGCTTCTGTGCACAGAATTGTGAATAGTGCATCTTCAGGTTTACACCGTGCTCAGTTTGGCTCGACTAGATTGGTTGTTTATAACAAAGGGTCCTACGTAGTGTTTTTACGTTTACATGTGTGTGTATGTTGTAAGAGAATTGTTTTGCTCAGGTAAGTGTTATGTAGAAATGATAGTCATATTACTGGTAAACTGTGAAATATCATTGAAAATAATAAATAGGATAAAATGTGATAAATATGATTCACAAATAGCATCTTTGCAGGTGTCTCAGAAAAAAAACGGAAAAGGTTTTGAATGGCCACATATACTACAAGAGGTGATCTTTCTGATAAAATCCCAGTCTAAAATCTCTGTCCTATCCCACTCTAAAACAATCCCATCCTTGCAGGTTTCTTCCTTAATTTTCTAGAACAGAATAGTTTGCAATACCACATTTGCTGCCCTACTGACAAATGAAGAACGAGTCTGTTTGAATGTGTGATATGAATACTTGAATACATAACCCAGGGATTTACAGGACACAAATTCCAAGGCCCTATATGCATAAAATTGACAATTCCTTAGTGCGTCCTAAAAGTAAAAATGCTTGTTGTAAAAATTGACAATGGAGATTTTGCAGGGACCTTCTGTAACAATGTGACAGGACTCAAGGTAAAATCCCAACAACATAACCCATGTTAGAATTGGTCTTCAGCTACCTATAATACTTGTTGTAACAGGCGACTAATAGGATCGGGTTTTGAGGCTTGCTGGCTTGGTGGAAACATGTCATTATATCCCATTTGCGTAGATCGATGCTCATGATGTTGATCACTGGATTGTCTGGTCCAGACTTCGATTATTTACAGACCACCGCCATATAGCTGGAATATTGCTGACTGCAGTGTATAGAAGAAACAAGTACTGAAAGTAGTCAGTTGTATGATTCCAGCTAAATTTAGCCTATGTCAGCTGAGTTGTATAGAAGAAAGTTCCACTGATGTGGAGGAACAAGTTTCACTCAATAGATTTTGGCACTGAACGAGGATATATAAATCAAATACAGTCAAATCCCGATGAGTCGAATGCCGGTGTCTTGAATATTATGCATAACTCGAAGTACCTGTCGGTCCCGACCATTCCGTTATAGTTGTCATCATTTGAATACCGGTTACACGAATTCGTCTCATAAATACACACGATGACTCGAGAAGGAAATTTGGTCCCATGAGATTCAAACAACAGCAATCTTGTATACATAAGCCGAAGTCAGTCAATGAGAAGTTGATTGGTGTAGCAAACTGATCCAATTAACAAACCAGCGCGGCTCACACCTTTCCGCCATTGACGGGTGAGTTCAAAAGGCAGATTAGTGATTTTACAGAAATCACTGTCTGTGCTAATCAGACTGGAACTGATAAGGTGTCCCTATTAGTGATATGGAAATCATTAGATAAACAAATGCTTAGGCGGAAGAATTAGGACTGGATCATCTTTTTTTCTACCCTCATAGACATACCTATGTCTCGAATACATCGATAAGTCGAATTTATTACTTGGTCCCCAGCGATTCGACTCATCGGGATTTGACTGTATATCAAAAACGTATCACAGACTGACAGATTAGTTGATTTAAGTGTTTAAGTGCCACATTATAGGCAACAGGAATGAAGGGGTGGGGTAGTCTAGTGGTTAAAGCGTTCGCTCGTCACGTCGAAGACCCGGGTTCGATTCCCCACATGAGTACAATGTGTGAAGCCCATTTCTGGTGTCCCCCGCCGTGATATTGCTGGAATATTGCTAAAAGCGGCGTAAAACCATACTCACTCACTCAACAGGAATGAAACATTTACTTAAATAACTAATACGGATTAAATACTTTATTTATACAGGTATAAGGTACTGGTGCTTAATTAAACATTGTATCTGGGATGTGGTGTAGCTGCTGTTCAAATCAGGTGTCAGACTTACCCAGACATCAAGGTATCTACACAGCTGGATATATCTGTAACAGGCATGTAAGAATGTTGGCACATGTTGATAAACCCAGCTGATTCTCTGTCAGGTTGACATTGTTATGTGAAGAAGGTTGCTGATGCTGTAGACTATTGTGGTACATGTCTGTGCCATCAAGTACATGTTGTAGAGTAGTGACATGGACCTGATGTAACGGTCTTCTATCAGAGATGTACCATTACTGTGTGTTTGTAGGATCATGCAGGAGGCAGTTCAATATGTACTGTGAACTGCATTAGCAATTGATGAAGCATTCATGCTAATTAGTGTATATGTTTTTGGTTTTTGTCTTTTCTTTCCGTGAACTGGCTTTAATGTTGCTGAAAACATGGTCTAACTTCACTCACTCGCTTTATTTCTTCCAACAAGTATGGGGGCGGTGGGGTAGCCTAATGGTTAAAGCATTGGCTCGTCACGCCGAAGACCCGGGTTCGAATCCCCACATGGGCACAATTCATGAAGCCCATTTCTGGTGTCCCCTGCCGTGATGTTGCTGAAATATTGCTAAAAGCGGCGTAAAACCAAACTCAGCCAGTCAGTCCAACAAGTATGTGTGGGTTAAGGGTGTCTTAGTCGTGGAACTCATGATGCAGAATGCAGAGATCATGTTTGGATTCATTTTTTATAAAAAAATGTTTCCAAAGTAGAGCGACACAAATTAATTTAATGACTCATACAAAGTAATCTAAATTTTTAAATTTCATAAAATACACTATATATATTTCTGTTTCCAACAACCTAGGACACGTGAAGATCCGGGTTAGAATTGATCTTCATCAACCCATGCTTGTTGTAACAGGCGACTTAGGGGATCAGGTGATCAGGTTCGCTGACTTGGTTGACACGTGTCATCATATCCCAATTGCGTAGGTCGATGTTCATGCTGTTGATCACTAGATTGTCTGGTCCGGACTATTGACGCTGCCATATAGCTGGAATGGTGCGGAGTGCAACATAAAACTAAACTCACTCACTTAGTCATCTAAGATGCCACATTCTACTGTGCAGAGTTGTGTCCCTTGTCCCTTATTGTGGGTTCAAATCCTGCTTCACCCCAGTTATGGTTCTCGGTCTGTCAGCTCAATACATGTTGGTTTCATCAAAGGTCTGAGACTGTACATCTTCCCACACGAAGCTGCATGCCTTGCATGTGTTTCTTTTCATATCAGAGAATCTCTGATAACATATCTAGTTTTGTCAGCATCATACTTATGCTTGTGGTCCGATTACACACTTTATCCCACACTCTGTGACCCTGTGGCAGCTCCAGGTTAAAACATCTCCAAAGCACTTTACTCGTATGGTGGAAATAAGAGGTATCATCTATATACTATGACACCATGGCATTAAGAAAAGTGGTGTTAATCCAAAATAACTCACAGCAGAACTGTCACCAATTGCTAGTAACCTTGACAACCACAATGCCGAAGAGCACATGTGTATCAAATAAATGCCACTATCCACCATGTACCCATCTAATAAACCTCTCTTCCTTGCAGACAAGTCCTTCCCCAAGCACAGCTTAGTTCTGGATCGCAATGTGACGTGTGAAGACATTCCTGAGGAGAAAGTCGGCAAGTTTATCTCCCACACATGGACTTGCCACAACATCAGGTCAGTCATCTTAATACACCTCCATGTTGGTTTTAATAACCCACCAACATGAAGATCTGTTGGTTACTTGAAGACACTTAAATGATTTTGTGTCATTGGCCTTCATTTTTATTCACTTTTCTTCCCAGCAGACTTTATTGCCAAACATCCCACTTCAGGTATTGTCCTCAAGGTCCAACTGACAAAGGAAGCTACTTCCATGTATGCCATTATACTGTGCTACGTGAAACTAATTTGATTGGTCCATTGTTATAACACTAAAGGGGAACAATCAGCTGGTGAATACTTGTTCAAGGAAATATTGGATTTAGGTACAGATCTTGACCTTTTTTCACAAGACTATGAAGATGCGAATGACAGTTTTATGTTCACAAGTCACATAAACAGATTGTTTCAATGTGTAATAAAACATTAAAAGTAAAACCTGCCACTAAATGGAACTTACTGCCAGACTCTCTCAAAGAAGCCCAGTTGTTGGAGCAGTTCAAGTGTCTCTTTAAGACTTATTTATTAACAACCTTCCTTATGATGACTCTTCTGTTGTCAGTGTGAAAACTTTTTCAGTAGACTTAAACGATGCACACTTTTTATGAAGACAGGGTGTCTGTTAATTTGAATATCCACAGGATGAACGAACCTTAACCTATATGCAAGAAATATGAGGCAACACGACCCAGGTGCCTGTAAAAGTAGGGTCATTTGGACTCAAGCCCCTTCTGAATCATTAGCAAGGGATAACCAACTGTATCGTCCTCTCATTTCTTTAACCTATTGATGTAATGACCATATTTGAACCAAATGATGCAGATAAAGTGATCAAACTTTATTATATCTGAAATGAAAAATTTAGAAAGTTATTGAAAATGTAAATCCTGAAAAGTAAGACATCTCTCTGTAAATGCCCATTTTGCTTCACCGTGTTCTCAATCTGGAATAGAGCGATTATGATCCAAAGGTGTCATACAATAATTTGAAAAGGGATTGATGTATAAATCTATAATTCCACCTCATGCCAGTCAAAGACCAGAAATAGCAGTCTAATAGGGATTCTGTAAGTAGCTTGTTCCAGCAAACATCATGACCCACTGCTGAACACGGTGGCCATACCCTTTTTGCCCTCAAGAACAATGACACAGTCTCAGAACTACATCACTTCCAACAGTTCTTTTTGCTGCCTGCCCATTATTTAGATCCAGCTGGATTTAATTGGATCAGATGATGTTGTGGGTTAAGATATTCCTGGAAATAAGGCTTGTCTACTTGTTCCAACAGTACATATGATTGCATTGTCTTTTCTCTGGCAGCTGCCTGGTGACCTTGCTGATTCCTATTGTCACCGCTGACAAGAGATGGGTGTGTGGGGAAAGGCTAATTGTAATGCTTACGTCTATGAGTAATGTCATGTGACAGTTTCCAGATAGACAAGATAGCACTGCAAACAAGAAGAGCTTAAAGTGTTTCATGGTGTTATTATAAGATATTACCCAGTGTTCAATTTGATATCAAGTTTATCTCATGGGGAATCAACAAAACTAAATAGTTTCAGTACTGTCAGTTGTAATTTGGAAAGATAGTTTGACCTAAATCCACAAACAATACCATTCATGTCACAATGTTGGAGAAATAATGTGTTTTACAGTTTCTCCACTGAAGACAAATGACCACGTTACATATCTTTGGAAAATAAATTCAAGTGTTTTTGTTTCAAGTTAAAAAAAAGTTATTTGCATAAAATAATTCTTATCTCTTGTTATTCCAGTGTTATCAGTAAATATTTTCTTCACAGTGGTAATAAACTGGGTAAAAGGATGAGAAAAAATAATAAGTATTGAGTGAAAATTACTTAATGCTGCTTCAGCAAATGTTGCAGCTACTTGCGTCAAGAGCAGTGAATAATGATGAAATCTGTGACATAAAGTCATTCTGAGCTTGACAATGAAATTGTTGTCAATAAAATAATATTGATAGTTGAGTAGTTGAGTACATGGTGCCCATCACAGGTTTAAGCCCATTACAGGTGTCCCCCCATGTAGCCTATTGCTGGAATATTGCTCATCAGCGAAGAAAACTAAACTCAGTCATGGGCAAAAGTGTTAAGCCCATTTCTGGTGTCCTGTAGGTTACATTGCTGGAATATTGCCACAGTACATATGACTAAACTCAGTCAGTCAGTCAGTAGGTTACAATCCTCCATCCCATAGTACATATGGCTGACTTGCAGACTAGTGGCTATCTGTTTAAGTAATAGTGTGGTTTAATGCCATTTTGTACAGTATGTCAGTTTACGTAGGTTTAAAGCCCCAAGGTTTGAAATAGAATCTGGGCAAACTGGGATTCCAACTCATGATTAAAGGTTCCTGGTGTGCTCAGGGGCGGTGGGGTGGCCTAGTGGTTAAAGTGTTTGCTCATCACGCCGAAGACCTGGGTTCAATTCCCAACATGGGTACAATGTGTGCAGCCCATTTCTGGTGATCCCTGCCATGATATTGCTGGAATATTGCTAAAGGTGGCATAAAACTAAACTCACTCACTTCTAGTCTGCCCAAATGATGTACTTGGGCACAGTGAATTGCTGTGCCCAAAACAACTGAACACCATTGGTTAATTTAACAAATCAAAACTACTTGATTTAAGCAAGGTTAGATAGATAAAAACACAGATAAATGTGTGAAATACTACTATGAATATCTAAAGTGATAAGGGGGAAACAGCAAGTACTCTCACCATTCAGATCACATCACACTAACAACACTATATATTGTGAAATGTGTCATAGCCTTATGCCCATCAGCCCCATACATTCAGGTTCTGGCAGTTATTGTAAGTTCATTCAAAGTTGGTCATGTGACTTGTGTGAGTTATTGATGGTCTCATTTCATTAGCTGACTGAAAATATGAGACATTCATCACGACCACACTTCATAATGTTGTCTGTGTTTGCCTGTGATGGAAGAGTTTAGTGTATACAAATCCATGAAACACTTATCAAAATTACCGGTAGTTATGGCAACAAGGATAACTTTTAAGGTAAATTGATATGCTTAAAGTTATCTTGAGGCATCAAGAAATGTGTGTTCAGTTCTGCTAATTTCCTTCAGGGCAGCAGACATTTTGTATTAGCAATATTACATAAATATGCTGGAGGGTCAGTTTGATTAAGTCTTGGATACTTGATGAATTTCTTTGATATTGGATAGCCGACAGTGGCTATTTATCAACCAGTTCTTATTTGGTGAAGCTTTCATCTGACAAACTGTCAGGGTCATTTAGGATGTTGATATTGTTGTGTGGTTGGTGCCGCGACTACCGCGGTTGTGTGGTTGTTTCTCAAAACACATTCATTAGGGTTTGTTTTCATTATGATGGAGTTCATTATCCTGTGGCCAGGACAATGACAATATCTCGTGAAATTGAGTCTGAGAAGGAATTAGGGCTCAAACGCATTATAATGAATTCCATGATATATAGTTACCAGACAATTGCTTTGCTAAATTTGTGTGAGTTTGAAAAATATTAAACTTAAAAAGTTAATTTGGGAAGGTGTCCTGGCTTGTTGAAAAGGATGTCTAGAATTTTTTAGTTAACTGATTCTTGGGCTTCAGAGGTTTCAGAACCATTATATATCTGCATTTTGTCAATGTGGACATGTTAATAATTAGCTCTAGCAGTATAAGTGATTAGCTAAGACAATTTATTATCCATAAGTAGAAAAATGAATGTTACGAGCTCGTTCCTAATTTTGTAGTTTCATTATTTCACAGCTTTCTAATCAGCCTGAAGTATCAGGTCAGTGAGTGCAACAATGTGTTGATTGTCTCTTTGGAAGAGTACATGAAATGCAACAGCTACCTTAATTCTTAAAGCTCTCATTATTGGAGGTGCTGTATATAGTAACAATGTATTGATTGTCTCTTTGGAAGAGTACTTGAAATGCAACAGCTACCTTAATTCTTAAAGCTCTCATTATTGGAGGTGCTGTATATAGCAACAAATTGTGTTGATTGTCTCTTTGGAAGAGTACATGAAATGCAACAGCTACCTTAATTCTTAAAGCTCTCATTATTGGAGGTGCTGTATATAGGATGCTGCAAAAATGGAATCCTGGAATTATTGTTCCAATTTAGTGTCAGATTGGTAGGTTGGTTTATCTAGTTTCATGTAGTTAGATTCAACATGGAGGGTGCTTCATGTCCACGAGATCGAGGTAGGCATGCATCTTGTTACATTCAGAAAGAACACTGGTAGATCCAGTTTGAACTTTATTATAGTACTTTGGTTTGGATCAGTTTTAGTTTGATTGGAACCAATGCTATTTTTGGGTGGATAAATATAAAAATAGGACATTTTGGTGTGAGAAATAAGAGTATCTGGAGTTAAAGTACTGTGGATTGTGAAAGCCATGTCCGAGCATTGTGATTTTCTGAACCTAACTTACTTACTTTAACTGACCAAGGTCATGTTTTGAGCAGTATGTATTCACTCCTTCCCTCCGGACAGCTTTTGAGATGTTTTAAAAATGAACAGCGCTCCTACAGCTTTTATCTCAACTGAGTAGTATTTGTCTTTTAAATGATTGTTAATCCCTGTCCTGCTGTTTGTCCTCTATATGGGTAGTCCCTGTTGAGACTGTTATAAATGTTCCATGATTTTCAGGTGAGCAGTTATCTTGCCTTTGTGTGTTTGTGACAGGTGCCACTGGTGGATCATGATGTGCTTACATTCTTTAAAAAACGGACGTTACTGTTTGATAATGAAGAATGAACATATACCAAGATGGAGTCAGAATCATTCCATTGACTTTGCCTTTGCATTGGACTTCTTCTGGGAATGGAAAGGTTTTGCAATCTTTTCTGTTGGCACTTTCATATGTTCTAAAAATTTCATTTTTACTTTTAAAAACAGTTTGTCCTTGTCTCTTTATGCACACTATTCCTCCATAGTAATGAAGGAAGGTGGTGTATGCACAGTGACGCAGAGCCCAGAAGTATTGGCAACATGTC